ACTTCAAATGTCTTTCCCACGGGTCTGATGGTTTGTTTTTTCATCTCTTCTCTTTAATCGTTTCTTTTGTCTCAGGGTAAAATTATTAACACTTCCATTATTAACACTTCATTCATTTGACTCTCCCAAACAAGGTAAAATTATGTCCAACACTTACACTTCCCTTCCCTTCCGAGCCCTTACTAACACTTACTAACACTTGCAAACACTCCATCCAAACAGGCCGTTAATGAGCACCATTTTCCTCTCCCTGTGCAACATCAAATTTAACTCGGGGAATCATGATCAAACACTAAACATAAGATGAACTGGCAGGTAGTAATCATTGTCAGTTTGTCACCCAGTGAGATTAAATTTTGGAGTTGAAACAACCATACAGGATCTTTGATGGAAACCAATGATAGGGTATTCAATGATATTAATGAAGAAGGGGATGTGTAAATTTCAGCGAGAAACGTAGAAACGGAATAGAAACATACCTGGACGGTTGGAGTGACAAACTCGGGGCGATGAGAGGTTAGGTGCGCCATATAGCAGCAGGGTTGTGAGCCGCTGAGACAAAGTGTTTGTGTATTCAACCTAATAGGCAAATGGAACAAACGAACGGAACGGAACGGAAGGGATGGAAGGGATCGGACAGAAATAAAACGGGAGTACAAATGCTAAAGCACAGTGTACCATCTTATGAAGCTACACGATTACACCAACATTTTTTTCATTACTAAAATACTCTAACTTTCATTGACAATTATAAGATTTAAGAAATTGAATGAATTTTACTAATATTGCCGTATTTTTTCCAAGAAGAAATTAATAGGGGTATGATAAAAGGTGTAGTGAGTTGTGTGTAAAAGAAAAAATATGAAAGAGAATAAAAAAGCATGAAAGAGAATGAGGGTATATAAGTATATCTATTTTTAAAAAAAAAACTTTCTTAAAATGGAAAGGGAGACATGTATTGGAGAACATCCCAAAATGGAAAGAGAGACATATATTAGAGAACGGATGAAGTATTATTAATATAATTATGAGACCATAAAACATACGTGCACTAAAGTGGTCCACATAATATACAATAACAACAACATCCAAACCTTAGTCCCAAAAGATATTGAAGTCGGCTAATATGAATCGATACATGATATCACCACCAAAAGGAAAAGAGAGAAAATAAAGATAAAAAAAGATAAGCTAATATGAAAAAGATAATATAAAAAGAAATGAATATACCTAAAAATGATAGATAAAAAGGATAAAAATAATGTTTATGTATAAGGAAAAAAGGATTTAAAAAAACAAGAAAAAAATGAGGGAGTGGTCCGCATAATATGTAATAATAATATTTAAATATTCTTATAACACTAATACAAAATGTTTGAGAACCATTTAAATTAACACTTGAGCTTTATTTTCAATAAATCTCCAACACAATTTCTGTTTCTTCCATTGCATAACATGCCACATTTAAGCATTTACTTTACTTAATATGGTACAAATGTTATGGAACTTACAGTTTTACCCTTATTTGGGCGGTAATTTTGGCTCCAAAAATTGTGGCCATACTGTTACTTTATACTACCTCCGTCCCGAATTGATTTGCAAATTTGACTTTTTTTGTCAAACAGTTTCATTTTATTTGCTTAATTAGGATGAAATTTTTAATCATATTCTAATTTGAGGTTTGCAACTTTAAAGAGAATTTAATGTAGTTTCTGAATATGTAAATTTCATTTATTAAAAATTGAGTTAATTATCGATAAGGAGGTTTGACTTTTATTATTGGTTGACCAAAAAATGTTGACTTTGCAAAACAATTTGGGACGGAGGGAGTATTATATAAAGATAAAGATGCGTAAAACGTTAATTTATCTTTTGACCTTGATTTTTCATCACTGATTTAAAACTATTTATAAGTAAAAATATTGAGATTTTTTTTGAATATATGAATCCGTTATTGTTTGAAAGAAAAATCATAGGTGGTTTCCAATAATATGCAAGAAACTACTATGAATGTTTTTAATTGGACTAATTTCAATTTAAAACCAGCTCAAACTAGATCAAATCAGACTTAAACAAACACGATAAAAACAAACCAGGCCAAGCTAGACTTTGACAGTTGTAAAATACACATAGAATAAACATCTACCTGACCAGACCAGGATAAAATTCTCCTGAGTCACGGGTTTACCAGTCTAGGACCGGATAAGAATTTTCTTATTTTGACCATTTCCAGGTTTTTTGTTCTATCTTGTTTTTTTTTTGGGGGGGGGGGGGGGGCGGGGGTGAAATGTAAGTATATATAAAAGACATCCAAGAAAAAGGGGTTCAGAATGTACAGGTTACAAAAGGGAAACAAAAATGCAGGTTATCCAACATGGATAAACCGTACCCCAAACAACAATAAAGCTCCAAAGCTACAACTAAACACCAAACAAGGTGATGGTGAAGCACAAAACAACACAAAATCTGCCCACAAGCTACTGCCATACACCAACAAGGTGATGGTCAAGCAAAAACACCTTAAAACTTTACAAGCTCATCATGAGGATAGGGGCTATAAAGAATTTTGTAAACAATATATTGGATCCTAACAAAAACATCATCTTCTTTAGGAGTCAAGCCATCAAAGCATGTGACATTCAAGGTCCTCCAAGACTGCACGAAGGGTGATTACTCTCAACGATTTTATGCCAAAGGATTTCAAGAGCGAGCTGACTCAAATTTCAAGTTCTTGTCTTAGCACCCATGAAGAAGAAGTTGAGAGTTCAAGTGGATGTCCATCTCTAGTTTCGACTAAGAAAGAAGTGGTCGAAGCACAAAAATCTACTTCGTATGTCACTGACATTGTCTTTAAAGACGAAGATCTCATGTTGGGTGCTACTCCCCATAACCGTCCGCTTTTTGTTGAAGGATACACTCGTGGACAAAGATTCAAAAGAATTATGATTGATCAAGGGTCTGTCGTTAACATTCTGACGGTTCGATCTATGAAAGACCTTGATATATCAATGGATGAACTCTCCCAAAGCCGCTTGATGATTCAAGGCTTCAATCAAGGGGGGCAAAGGGAGTTTGGAATGATACGTCTTGATTTGATCATCGGCGGACTGAAGGCAAACACTCTATGTCATGTGATTGATGCAAAGGCTTCATACAATCTCCTTCTAGGATGCCTATTGATATTCGTGTAATTTCCGAGTGTATGTTTGTATTTTTAACTAGTTTTTATTAGTTCTAGTTGTGGAAATTACACACTTTTGGTGTAATACTTTATTTTCATTTTTATTTGTAATTTAGTTAGATTAGGATTTTTCTGAGCTAAACAGGTCAAAGATCATCTAAGGGATCAAGATTGGACCTTAAAAGATCAAGGAAAGTGCAAGGAGACAAGAAAGATTTCGATTTGGAAAAAATACTCATGTACCCGGTCGGGTATTGCCTATACCCGATCGGGTAATTGCTTGATTCGACTGTCCAAATCAAATCCGAAGACAAATGATCGTGGGAGCAAATTTTCATAAAGATTTGTCACATACCCGATCGGGTATATACCCTTACCCGATCGGGTATGCCCAGAAAAATGACTTTCTGGGCAGTTTCCTGAGATACCCGGTCGGGTATCCTATATACCCGGTCGGGTATCAGACCCTGCAGCTCCCAAAAGCCTATAAATACACCCCTTTCCTTCACAATAAAATCACCAATTCCTATATACTTCTAAGCTCAGTTTAGACAAGTTCTTTCTTTATATTTTTATCATGTTTAGTCTCCAAATGAGGAGCTAAACTCTTCCATCTTGGTTTTGCTACTTTGAAGCTTAATGATTTGTAAGTTGTGAGTTATTTTCTTTAATCTTCTTCCTTGAATATTAATTACTTCCTATTCATATCCCATATTAATATATTGAGCATTACTTAAAGTATCAACTAGTCTTGTTCTATATATTAATTATTACTAGAATCAATCGGTTAATACGCTTGTTATTAATTCGGTTCTTTCAATGGTAGTAAACTTGGATTACTAATGCATGCTTCTCATGGTTAATAATCTAAGGGGAATTATTTATATTGATTAAACCAAAAAACCGCTTGTGTTGAGGTTATCAATCTCAATCGTTTTCATCTTAAGTTTATTGCTACTATCAATTTAATATACGGCGCTTGTCCTATATTGACTTGATAGTAAGTTTTATTAATGAACGCATCTCGTTATTAATAACTACCCTCGATGAACTGGATATACTCCTCGATTGAGTATTTGAGAGGAAGATAGTTAAAGATATAACCGGGATCGACGAACATTTCATTAAGTGGATAAAAGCAAAGCCAAGTCTTCTTATTATTAATTAAACCACATAACTCGTTCATCTTCGTGTTCAATATTAATTAAATCATTCAATCAAAACCCCCCCTTTATATTTACTAGTTTATAAAAAAGAGAAGTATTCCTTTCCCTGCGGATACGAACCTTACTTCAATATACTACGTATATTAGTTGTATTGTATTTATTTTGAGTGCACCTCACGACAAAGTGCACGTCACCTATGGATCCATGAGAACGGTGTAATTCCTTCAACATGGCACCAATGCTTCAAGTATGAGCAAAATGGCGTTGTAAAGAAGGTAGTGGCCGATGAAACTCCATTCACAGAAGCCGAGACATACTTTGCAGATGGGAAGTTTTACCTAAAGGCCAAAATTTCTAAAGATGACAATGCTAGACAAGAGGAACAATATCACCCCTTGATTGAACCAAAGCTGAAAGGGAAGCTTGTTAAAGTCGTAGAAGGGCTTACATTCCCTCTTGCAAAGATTGACATATTAAGGCCTCCTCAAAACAGGTCTGAGGAGGAAGTGAAAAACGAGAATGATGTTAAGACATTTCAGCTCCCTAAGGCGCGTACAAATGAAGGATTTGATCCAAACACATATAAACTCCTTGCTAAAGCCGGGTATAATCCTAACGAACAAAAGTTAGGGAAGCTCATTCCAGAAGCTGGCGGAGAAGGAACACCGAAGCAAATCAATTCACGAGGGCACGATGGATTGGGTTACGTTCAACCTAAACCTATAAGGATCCTCATAAATAGAGCCGCAAACCATCATATTTTAGTGCTGATGAAGAGGATGAAGTGATTTCCAAACTAAAGTGCTCTATCTTTGATCGGGTTGGGGGGCCAGACCAAGGTCTGCCATATTTGATAAATTGGGCCCGAAACCAATGAAAGACATGAAGAAGACTTTACAAGAACGGCTTGGAATGAGCCCGATAATGATGAAGTACGCTGAAGACCCATGCAAGGGACAAAACTTCAAAAGAACGTCTGTTCATAAAAGATTGGGATTGAAACATGAACGCAATACATCTGCTAAAGTTCCTCTCGAAAAGAAAAGTCCTAATGAGCACAGAAGTTCTATCACATCTCATATGAAGCGAGAAACCAATGTGAAGGTAACGTATGGAAATGCACTTAAAGTCAAGCCAGTGACCGTTGTGCATACTCATGGTCAATTTGAAGACGAATATGTGAATACCTGCTTTATCAACTTTAAAGACTCAGTACCCTTGAAGTCGGAGCATGCATATGCCAAATGAAATGTTGAAAGCCATAAACCACCAATGATGTTGTAAGTGGCTAAACTGCTAAAGCATTTCACTTCGTCTATGGATGAGCATAATCATAGATACTCTTGGCCCACGAGAGTATAAAATGTGTACGACAAGCTCCTGGCCCGCATGAGTTAAAACTGTGTACGGCACGTCGGCACCCACCCCCTTTAGATTACCAATTCAAATGGTACATATGAACTACGTTTGACTTGATCTCCTTCACATGAGTACGTAGGCAGCTCAAAAGTTTCATTTTTGAGTTCGGTTATAACAAAACAAACCCCAATTAGGTTTTTGTAAAGGAAGAATGTCAAAGGGAGGATTAAAAAAAATAGATAAAATCAGCTGACTGAAGTCTCCCCAAGTTTAAAGTCAGGCCCAGACTCCGGAGGTCTCCTCCTCGCCGGAAATTGTTTTGGTTGAGAAAGTCTTCTATCAACGCCATCATCCCAACAATGGAGCAAGCGACATCAACAATCAGCAAAACTGCATGAGTCTCGAGATACAAACATCATTAGAACTTTCAATTTCCTAGCGAGAGAGATTCTTGGATCGGCCAAAATCATTTTGACAGCCCAAAGGACCATCCACTTTTGGATCCAGGTTCTTCTTGTAAAAAATCAGGCACGTGTCTTATTTGGACAAAAGCCCCTGGAGCTTCTTTTTAGCAAAAACCAGGGTGTTGGCCCCCAATGCTTCGAACATCAACCATGGATGGTGGCTCTTCCAAGCACTGATCAGTGAGATCTCTAATGATCTACTCCTGTTGTATACTTGTATCTTCCTCAGACCTCAAACGAGAACAGGAGCAAATCAGTAATTGACCTCATATATCTTCCTGATCATCTTCTTCGCACAACGGCAAACCCCCGGAGCTTCCCGTTCTCGGCGAACTAATGAAGTGAGTCAGAGAGAAATCACTAGCAACACACGATCAAACGAACAGACGCGATTGTAGACATTCTCCTGACCTCTCTGCGTTGACACCAACTAGCTTCCACAACAAGCCGGTAACATCTTCGACTCAGCAAATCTCCAAATGCAGCGGCTCCGGAAGAATTCTCTTTCAAATTTCAGAAGCCCAGCCGGTGAACCGGCATCATCTCATATGGAAACAAATTAGATCCACCGCTACAAGCTCCCGCCGGACGGCTACAAGCTTCCACCGGGCCGCTACAAGCTCCTGCCGGACAGCTACAAGCTCCTTGAAATTTCTGGTCGGCCAGCATCTTCCCTTCCTCCTCTCAGTGAACACAGAATAAGCCAGGTAAAACAAGGGTAGCTCTTCAATTCTTCGCTGATTTTCAGCTTCGTTCCTTCTCAGAAAATATGCAGGGAAACAAATGAAAACAACAGCAACCTGTTGGAGTTCTGGTTCGCCTCTTCAATAAATTGGCTCCGTTTTATCCTTCTCGCTGGAAATCAATCTCGGGCTGACACATCTTCAATTTTCAATAGCAACAGCGACTGCGTCTTCTTCTCACAGCAAAACCAGCAACCGGCGAATCATCGTTTTCTCCGACTTGCCTCTGGATTTTGAATGCCAGTTCGATTAAAGATGATTTTGACCAGCATGATAACTTCCTACGCCTTGAGATATCCCTGCAAAATAAAATATCCAAAGCAGGTGTGAAGAGAATAAACAATTTACCTATTTTATATCTTCGGCCGCCTGCTAAAATCTTCTTGATAGCTACATGACTATGGCTGAAGTGGTTCAGTGGTATTTATAAGTATTTTGGATCTTAGAATTTCCAAAGAACTACGGGGTTGAGGAAGCATGTAGTATCTGAATCGAATAAGGACTTCTAAAATTAGAATCCTAGTTGGAGTTCTAAGAACATCTTTAATGGGAACATTTATAATGTATTGACACATCATATTGAAGGAAAAAATATGTCTCCAGCGGAAATATGAATTCTGGCCGTGGTGCTGACTTGGACGGAAAATAAATGCACATTGTCTATCTCCCCTTCTACTTCTGGAGGGCGTGTCTCACATGCTGACTCACCAAAACAACCTTTATCTTATACTCCGTAGAATTATTTTGGCGCAATGGAAATTACTAGCAAAAGCTTTCTCTCCCTTCTGTACCGAGCTATAGCCTGCTTTACTAACCAAAAGCAACAACTAGCGCCCACTATTTAGCAGCCCCTTGTGATGCGGCGGCAGTCCTCTAGCCGGCGCCGGGCCGGCGCCGGGCCGGCGGCGGGCCGGCGGCAACAGCGGGCAGCCCCCTTTTCTCCAATTCGTTTTATTTTTCGGCATATAAAAACCGGCGAGAAGTGTTTCTTCTTCCATCGTGGCTTACTCGCTCGTTTCTCCTTCTTTGGCAGCACCATGATGGCATGATTATTTTATTATTTCCATTTCCCTGTAACAGAGTGACGGGCTCTACATTTTTACTAATATACAGTATATGTTCATGTTTGTTTATACACACCGCACACACGAGTTGGTCAAGAGACCGGTTGTGTGTTCCAATCTTCCTTTTGCAGATGCATGGTTCTTCGTCGGCATACATATATGTCGTATACACAGTATAATCCCTATATCTTATACGGAGTACATATATAATCGAGACTATTGGCGGTCCGCTCATAATAATCCCTAATATTGATTATTCCAGAATAATCCCAACTTTAGGGACCTTCCGCCAATAATGGTCCCTATAAATAAATTCTTGTTGTTTGTAAAGTGGATGAGATGAGATATAGCAAAAAAATCCCTATAAATAATGCCAACTTTTAATTTTTATGCCTAATTTCTATTTAAAATTCACTTGGTATAGGAGGTAATACCTTGTCATGGACCATTATTGGCAGACGGTCTATAGTTGGGATTATTGTCAGCGGACCGGCAATAGTTGAGATTATTATTTTCAATTTGTCCTATATACTATTATGAGAAACATATTTTGTATAATGATATGGTTTATGGTGAGTCGTAAATTGGGTATGAGTAGTAAATAATTAAATGCTTTGATTTTTTATTTAGAGAATGCGTATGGACTCCATTGGAGAGGAAATGTCATTTTGATTGTTTGTCCGTCCACGTCATCTTCACGGTCTATGCATATGATGACATGTCCATTTTTTATGGAGTGCAATTCACAAGCAACCTAGAGAATCCGACTTTGACCCAATACATTTAAAAGTAGCCCAATAACTATCACAAGTGGCCCAATATTTTTTAATGTCCACAAATGCCCCTCGAGATTTGCTTGAATATTTTAAGAAGGAAAGTAAGTGTCTAAATAAGTGGACCCAACATCTCTTATGGCCTTAAATGTGCTTTTTTTTCTTTAAGCTGCATCATCTCGATTTGACCGCCTCGTAAATATGATATTCTAGCTGGCACAATAACTTGTTTTTTCTTTAAAAACCAAAATAGCTTAAGAGCTCTGGTGTCTGTTGGCCCATCAATTCAACTCAGGAAAAATGGATTTGAGAAATAAGGTTCCGTAACTAGATCAGTTCCGATTTACACAAGCATCGCATAAGTTGCAAACTTGCAATCATGGATTTACAATCAGGTTTATTTCAAGAGGTCGTGCATTGCATTGGTCGGTTGGCCATCTAGACGTTCAAAGGCTCGTGGAAATCGTGGCTGATTAACATTTTTCAGGGGCCAGATGTCAAATATGGGTTGGTTTTTCACCCAAATGTCCAAATATCTTCCCCAATTCATTTGTCAGTTTGTCACTAATTATCTAGCTAAAAAGATATGCAAAGACTAGAACTAAATGTAGTGTGGAAGAGATAGGAAATGTTCAAATAAAAAGAGACATTACTATGTAAAATGAGAATAAATCTTGTTCATTCAATTTCAGATCCAATAATGTTTTTTAGTGTTGATAATAAAAAAAACACAATGACAAATTCGTAAACAAGCGTATGTTTTTTATTTCACAGCAAAAAATGCAAATTAAACATGTAATAGTATATCACATTTAACAAAAACCTGCATCCGTTTATTTCGTTCGCAGTGTGCATGTATTATAAACTAGTATCTCTACCCGTGCCGTGCACGGGATAGACCGAATTTTTCTTCTTATACTACATGTGTGTGCGCGCACACAGATATATATGTGTGTAATCATAAGTAATGGAAGGTCACATATTTAGCCAATTATAACATCGGTTAATAATGCATATTCTTATTTATTGAGTACGTCTTTCTTCAACAAAAAATTTAAACATGTTCTCAGTCAATATTTTCCAATCAAAAGAACCAATTTTTTTATAACTCTTGGTTGCATCCAATTATCCAAATGAACATCATCTTTTCAAGCATCTTTATCTTAATAAAAAAAAAGAAATTGTTCAATCCCTATTTTTGTCCATTAGATTTCATCTGTAGCTTACTGTTTTTTCAAAACTAATAACTACACATTTTTATAATTTATAATTTAATAATGGGTATGGTCAATTTTTTAAGTTATTAGCCTTTCTATTATTTAGGATTGAAAAAATTAGTCCGATCTCCTTTGATAAAAGAGTTTAGAATAAACCATGTATAATTTTGTAACATTCTGATTTTATGAAGGTGATGGCAGTGACAACAGACCGACTGCATAACACGATTTTAGAGATTGATCTATTTTTCATTAGATTGATTCAAAATGAGTCTTATTGAACAAAGAGGTTGCATGCTTTAATAGACATTTTTTCCCTAAAAGGTCGGCTTAGTTAAATCTATAAAAGGATTATCACGTCAAGTGGTAGGTAATAATCGAAACATAAAATGATTTTACTTCAATGCCTTGCAAATATTTTCTCTTAATTCAATAAATCTATTACAACCAACATCTAAAGTAATTTTAATTAAAATAAAAAATGAAATATCTTAATAATAAATAAAATTTATACTAAATGAATTATTTTTCAGTAAACAATGTTTAGTTGTAAAAAATTGTAGATCCAATATAGAAATGAGAAAACCTTTGTTCAAAGAGTAATCTACAAATATTTATTATCATTAAAAAATACAATTTAAAAAAAGTTCAATTGTCTATTGCGTATGCAAAAATCAGATTAAAAAATACAATTTATTATCATAAAAGTTGAATATATAAAGTAAAAGATTAAAAACATTTACGTTAACTGGAGAATAATGAGCGAGAACCTTTAAGTGGGACATATGTAGTACTAAAAGTATATTGTCATAACATGATGAGAAAATATGGTAAACAAAGTTTATCCCCGACTCAATTGATGATGGAAGAGTCAAAAAGAAATTAAATGAAAAGAAATACTCCCTATATCCTAAATTGAGTTACTAAATTGACTTTTTGAGTCAAACAAATTTATTTTATTCACTTAATTAGGATTTTAATTCTTAATTAAAATTTAATTGAGATTTTATAACTTTAGAGAGATTTTGATGTAGTTTCTAATATGTGAATTTTTATTCTTAAAATTGAATTAATTACTGACAGGGAGGATTTAACCGTAACATTAGTTGACAAAAAAATGACGACTTTACAAAACAATTTGGGACGGAGGTAGTAATTAATTGAGAGTAATTTTGGAAAAGAGTTAGGTCATCCCCAAGAATGTCAGATAATTCAAGGCATGTATGAGTTTAACATTGCCCTCCATCTTACGCCCAGGAATGTAACTTTCCCGAATTTTTAAAAACCCCGCGAACCAAACATGAACATGTAACATCTTATGCATAACATTTCGGGCCTGCATGTGAGATTACTCTAAACCAAACAGGCCCTAAGACAAATGTATATTTTGCAAATTGTAACACACTGAGTCTTATTTTTTTAGGGAAAAATAATAAAAACAATCCGAACTTTGAAGGGGTGTGAGGTAAGCACTCCAAACTTGCATATGTAATTTAAATACCCCAAACTTTATATAAAAAGTTATTTTCGCACCATTGTCATGTATTATTTCTTTCAAAAATGTAAATTTATGGGGTGAATTGTATAATTTAAAATAGAAAATTAGAATTAAAAGTAAATGTAATTATTTTTTTATGAAAGTAAATGTTATACTGTATATATGCGAGTGTGCGCACTAACATATGTATGAGTAATTATAAGTGGATGGAAAGTCACTCATTTACTCGATTATAACATTGGTTGATAATACTACATATTCTTATTTGTCTAAAATGTCTTATTTTTTAACTAAACATCTAAACATGTTCTCAGCCTATTTTTTTATTTATTAAAAGAGCCATTTTTTTCCATAAGTCTTGATTGCTTCCAAATGAACCTCGTCTTGTCAACCATCTTTATCTAAAAAAAAGGAAATTGCTCAATGCCTATTATGTGGGAAATAAGGAAATAAGGAGTATTCTAAACGGTAATTGAATGTTATTTGAGCTAAAATAACAACCAAAACTAATGATTTTAATTGATTCGGAGTATTTAAAAATTGCTCCCTCTATCCATTAAAAATTTTCCAAGTTAACTGGCATAGATAATAATTATGTAACAACCGTGTAATTGAGATTTGTCAAGAGGATTGGAGAAAGAAATAACCGCAATCATAATTTTTCCAAGTTGGCCGGCCCGTTTAAAAAGTGATGACTTTTGATGTATTTTTTGTAACAATCGGAGTACAAATAAAAAAATTTATATCACTTTAAAAAAAGATGTAAATTAATTTTTTTATTTTTGTATATTGAATATTGGTGTCATTTGAAAGCTAATAAAAAGTTATGAAATTTGATGTAATTTTTGGAACAATCAGATTACAAATGAAAAAGTTATAACATTTTAAAATAAACATGAGATTGTATATTGGTAGGATCCTAAATAATAGGAATTTGAGAAGTATTCAACTATCAATAAT